TGAGTTCATTTTTTCTATATTTTATTTCATTTATGCAATGATATGTTTAATAAATAAATTAATTTATTTTACAAACTTACTCCGCGAAAATTATTCGACACCACGTGCATCACACGTGCACTTTACTAGTGCAGAAAAAAAGGAAGCATACAACATAACTTGAAGTTTATATAAGCAGCTTTCTTATACAGTTGCAGCAGCCTTGAGAGACAGGAAATCTGAGATCTTGTTGGTGTAAAAGTCTGGTTGTATGCTGTTATTGGGATTTTGTAGCATAGACACAGATGTTACTCCTGATAACCAAAAGATATATCACAAAAATCAACAATAAAATAAATAAATAAAATCCCACATTTATCACTATAAAATGCACAGGGGTGTACTGCATTTACATTGTAAAAGAAAATTTATATAAACATTTTTGTAGTTAATTCAATCTTCAAGTGTATTTACTGCAATCATCAGTGTCTCATTGAGCGTATATATATATATATAAAGTGCTCGAATGGTACCTGACAGGACGAGAAGAGTCTTGCAACCGCCATTTTGTCCGAATAGAATATCAGTGTCTAGTCTATCACCAACCATGCATATCTGTGACTTTGAGATGCTAAATCTGTTTCAACAATCAACACACCTAAATTCATTACATATATGTTCATGATATTCTTCTATAAAGCAACCGATTATTACATTAACACATCTGCTCTGATCTAAAACCAGTTTGGAAAACTAGCAAAGAACAGTATATAAACTTGAAAAAGCTAGTAAACAGAAAACGGTTTGCTTACTTGTTCGCCAAATAATCCATCATGAAAGTTGAGGGCTTTCCAACGACAAGTGGTTCTTGTTGAGTGGACCCGCGCACTGCCCCTACCATCGAGCCTCCACCTGATTGCAAGTAAAAATACAAAAATGAACTAAACATAAACAAAAACAGCATTTTCAGACAAGGATATATATATGTATGTATGCACCTGCCCATTCTTGAGCATCCGTAAGATGAGTTACAGCATCACGGTTTGTAGCAATGAAAAGGCAGCCCGGGTTTTCACGGACGCACAAAGTTGCATACCTTCATAGAAAGATAAATTAAACTTCTGCCATTAGCTGAGTAGTGACTGAGATATATTTGCATGTAATTTTTACCGGTAGTTACTAATACATACAGCTATAAAATCGCAACAAACGTTTGACGATAAAATAAAACTCAGTTCAGATATCAGGATACTTACTGAATCTTGAAATAGTTGAAGTACCGGTCAAATCCAACAACCACAGCTCCAACCTATTCAGAAATCACATTGTATTAGTACAAAACAATTTAAATCGATATTGTTCGGAAGCATAACAGAATGAATAAACGCACATCTTCATCGTGCTCCATCATGAAACCAGGTTTTAGTTCAATCTTTTTATCACCATCTTCCTGCAAGGTACAAAGGAAGGTATTCCATGAAAGTTAATAAATGTCAGTTCAAACAAAACATAAAGATTTGTGCCTTCTTTCGGTTGTTGTTTAAAGGAATTGCTCGTGAAACAAGCTAGACAGAGGGTTGCAAATCCATGCATCACATTGAGTTCTTAAATTGATTATTCTCTCCTTGGGCGTTAATAAGCTGACTTGAATGCATGATTATGAATATTGCATTTTATACACAGCGCAAGCATAAGATCGGCGCTACTGAATACTCAATTGAGACAGCACAAAAATTTTAGCAGAAGCTTTAAGAAAAGAAAATAGAAAAAAAAAAGGAGCAAAACACTTGATATCTATGGGAAAACCACAGGGTGTTCTTCTTTCCAAAATAAAAGTTGATATAAATTAATAGTTTGCCTATACTTCTAGACATTGTTTCAGTCATGTTAAGTAGGTGAAGTGTGAACTACACAAATAAGTTTGTGGAGATTTTTTTATTATTATTTTCATGTTGTTAAATGGTGATTCATTTTTTAAGCTGTAGATTTAATTAACGACTTAATGAAGCATGTATTATAATTACATACCGGCCCACCAAGGTACTGAAACCCTGCTAACTCCAGCTCCTTTTGGATGCCTTCCTCACCAACAACATAAACCTTTTTTCAATAGCCCAAATGGGAATTAGAGGTCAGCTAAACATATCTTAATGTTTACGTTGAGTGAATAAGACTATCTCAGAAGTTCGACAGCAAGATAAATTATGGCCAAATGTTAATTAGTAATCATTTGCAGATTAACATGGCAGCAATACTGAAAAAGAATGTGAAACTCTGCCTTTGGACTAAAAACAACAAGAAGGCCAATCAATATCTATTCTTCATAGAAACTAGGCAAGCCAAAGTATCACTAAGGCTTCACATTTCCAAAAAAGGATATAGCTTCTAAAGCATAAGTTAGCTTGGCAAGCAGACAAAGCGATTAGTTCCAGTAAAAAGTAAATTGCTCGAAGTTCATAAACTTGTAAAGATCAAGTTCTGGCTATGAAATATTAGCATGATGAACTCAAGATTCAAAAAGGTTAGGCACAACCGCACAACTAGTTGCTATGACAGTCCTGTTTTACTCTTGTTGCGGAGAAAAGATGGAGCTGATTTCAAACACAAAAAGGAATATACATATATGTGTGTGTGTGTGTGTGTGCGTTTGCCTTAATTTTTCCTAGTATGTACCTTTTTATCTTTTGGGAAATTGATCGACTGTAAGTATGCAGCAGCAGCAAAAGATGATGCAAAGATTTCCTCCTGAAACCTTTCAACCAGTTAAAAGCACTGAAATTTTCTAGAAGATGGACTAAAAATAAATACCAGAATGAAAATAAACCCACCTCACTGACACTAAGACCAAGCGTTTCAAACTTTTTCCCATACTGCTTTCTGGATTTTGTTGAGTTATTGGTAACAAAAACCAATCTTTTCCCCTACACAAGTAGCAATCTGATCAAACCACTAACGTTACCTGGACATAATTCTTGAACAGGTCGATCTTGTGAGCTATATACTCTTCTATTCCACATTTGCTACTATCAACTTTATTGCGGAAGGTTTTATACACTGCAAATGTTCAATATGTAAATATGAAATGAAGAAATTCTGGCTGAATACAATACCTACCTTTGACCTGAGCAAGTCGAGAGTTTCTGGGACTCCATCTATAAGTTTGTCACCTTTCCATATGACTCCTGGAAATAATTAAGCAGGAGTAAAATAAAATATCACAGAAACTTCAATTTTGCTAAACAGAACTAGAGTGCTGATAGAGAAAGAAGTCAATGAATCTCAGAACCATAGCCCATTCCAAGAGTTCCTATACGAAAAAGGCGTTCCAGTGATGTTGTATGTAACAAACTTTATTCTCCAATTATACAGAAGCCATTCTTTAAAATTTAATTTCTAACAAATGTTCTTGATTTATAAATGCAACAAATTCCCAGAACAGCTCTGTCTGGTCAAACACAAGCCTCACAACGAGCTCCTGTTCTCAAAATTTAATTGAACCGATTGGACATAATTCAAATAAATAACAGAAACTGGATCAATTAAAGTCTTCAAGGATGTAACAGATAAATGGTTGCAAAATTTGTAGCCAGCATTATGCTGAAAACTTTATGCATGTTGTACTGTTGGATGTTTGGTGAATGCATAAGTCCCCAAACTATACAGGTGTGTCTCATAATGTTGAACTCATCTTACAGGTAAAAATTTAAATCAGTTTTTTTCTTTCAAACTTAGAAAAAAACTTAAAATTATATGTATCTTCATTGCATGTATGCACCATCACAAGCTATTTGAAGGTGATTGGCCGAAAGTACATCTTGGACGTAACATATTTGGGTCCCTCGTCCAGTCTAACTCACTCCAGTCAGTTTCTCTCTCTCCCTTGCCATAAACAATCTTCAATTATCCATATCCTCTATCCGATGTTCATTGAAAAATAATACAGTTGAGAATGCTCGACAATGTTAGTCCGTGGTGTACACCATTTGGGGAAGATGATTCTGAGACGCACATTCGTTGTAATCTTGAATTATTCACACATTTCCATTACTCTTTGAAAAACAGTACAAGCAATTTTTCAGATTTTCTCCATGAGATTAGTGCAGTTCTTCACTCATTTTTCTCAAATAAGTGTCTCGTGCTCCATGATCTTCAAGTACAGGTTTACGTTATGATACAAACTTTGAACTGCCTTTGAATTTATGTCGTCTAATTTTGGATATCGTCTTTTCAGGACTACTCAAGACTACAACACTTGTTTCTCCTCGAATCCCATTATCAGTACCAATCTCAAAACACATCTTTTCAACGTACGATCGGACATTTCATCGAATACATTAGAAGTGATATCTATGTGCTACACATATGCAGAGTCACATTTAAAACCGAAAAAGGAAAAAAGAAACCTACCATCACAGTCAAAAATGAAGGTCTCCACAGAGTCGATGAGCTGATCAGGATCCTTGAGCTGTTCAGCCGAGGCGCGGGCACCCACAATTCTTGAGGCAGCCATTTTTCCTGAGCAAATCTTCGTCCTGAAACTGCAATCAAGAATGGTTCTAAGGGGATTGCGCAAAGATGGGTTGGTGATGGAAGGGATTTTCTTGGCCAAGTTTACTCTGTTGTGATGATTGAAGAACAGAGTGGCTGAGGATGAAGCTGCTGACAGTTTGCTAGTCAGCATTTTTCTTTTTCCTTTTGAGTTCTTTGTATGTGTGGCTTTCTAATTTTGCTGCTTTTGGTTTTTGTTTTGTCAGTTTTTTGTTTTCTTGGGATTGGTTGTGTTGTGTTGTGTTGTGTTGTGTAAGGTTTGGGTGGTTAGAGTTATCAGTTATGTATTGGATGAGTGGAAAATATGAGTGGATGAAGTGTTGCACTTTGTTTTTTTATCCATTGGGGGGCTGGAATTAAACAGCATAATTTACGTTAATAATAATTGTTGGCGTCCGACCGTCAACAGAATGACACTAGAAGGAGGACGACCATTAAGGATTACATACGGACGTCGTCCCTATATAAAATCATTACCTGATAAGGTTTTTTCATACACCCATCTTCTCTTCTATTTCATACATCCTTGTCGGATGAAGGGCGACGCAATCACACCCTCTTTCTTGTTATTTGCCGGATGAAAGGGTGGTTCTACCAACTCCTATCTCTCCGATCATCCCGGTACGCTGTCAAAAAGAATCTTCTCAATAGTATCAAAATATTTGCTTTTTTGTCTCCTCACCACACATAGAGCTTAGATCTATATACTGTGGCCAAAATACATTTTAGCCCACATTGACAAGAAAACAGACCGATTAAGCGATTAGCTCACCATCAACAAGAATATGAAGGTGGAAGGCTCGTGGGTTCCCGAGTAATCGTGACCCTATCCAAATATTTGTTTTTTGTTTAATAAGTGAAATAAGACTCAATTCAAGTTCAACTTGTGTAAGCTTGTGACACTTTAGTTAAGACCGACTCATTTAATATTTTTAAAATTTAAACGAGCTATTGGAAAACACCAAAAGTTACGGTTTTGCTATGAAACCAACAGTTGACTTCATAGTTGAGTCAACCTTCTATATACAACAAGTAAACCTACCACATTAATAAAATTATATTAGTATTATGTAAGTAATAAGAAAATATAGTAAGTTTTCTTGTTATATATAGAAAGTTGGCTCTATTATAGAGCCATCTGTTGACTTAATAACAAAATCGCCTAAAGTTAATCTATTAGTAAGTTCGACTACACTATTTTCTTCCACACTCGTAAAGAAAATAGTTGTATCAAAAACATATTCAGTTCAACTTGTTTACATGAAGGAATTACTAGAAATTTATTTTTTCTTACCAAAACATTTGATTAACATTTTTAATTAGGAATACAATATACTAGTACAACGCCCCGTGTATTACACGGGTGCTTGCAAATTTTTTCCTTAAAATCAAAATTTAATGAGAAAAAAGTAGTTGATACCTTATATATATATTATTATATATTTAGTATGACAGTTTTTATTTGTGTGACTTACTTGTGTTATATTATAATATTTTTTTTTTAAATTACAACATATAACTATTTTAAATATAAATATATCAATTGAGAAATAATTTTAATTTTTTAATAAATTTTAATAAATATTAATATTTTCTATTATTATAAAGATAAATGTAATTTATTTATTTTATATATACAATATGAATGTTAAATCGAAAATCATGAAAAAATTATTCATTTGATATATTATATATGTAAAATCGATAAGAAATACAAAAGTTATAAACTTTTAAAATACATTTATAATTCAATAGGTAATTAAAGAAAACAAATCAAAAGTCAGGGATATATTAGTCACTTAGGGGGTTGTATTCAATTTCAACTTTTAGAGACTTTTTAAGACTTTTAGAATTCTCGTGTATTCAATTAGAACTTTTAAAGACTTTTGAAAAGTTTACATGTATTCAATTGAGACTTTTAATGACTTTTAATAAGTCTCCAAACGTCTCAGGGTATTCAATTAAAACATTCTGAGAGTCTTTATAAGTCACCCAGTATTCAAAACAAAATGACTTCGTGAGACTTTTTAAATTTTGAGACTTTTAGAGACTTTTGTAACAAAATTACAAAGGAAAAGTCTCAACAGAAATCTCATCAATATTGGTGAGATTTTGCTGGACTTATGTAACTCTTTCACGCTCTCTTTCGTTTTTTTTTTTTCTTTCTAACATGACTTTGTATCTCATATCATTTTCATGCTCTATTATTAACTTATTTATTTTGATACCTTGTGTAATTTTTATTTTCATTACGTAATGTGATCTTTTCTTATTATTCTCTTATCTATAAAAAGGAACCCCTACCTTCAATTTTTGACACGTGTCCCCCCTCTCCTCACAAAGCCACGTCGCTCTCACCAAAACGGTGTCATTTTTGTGCATATTATTTCCCTTACCTGCCCTGTGCGTTCGATCCCTTCACTTCGAAAATTTTACACCCAAATTTTCTATCCTTCCTATGCAAATCTCTTCATTTTTTTTTTTTAATTTTCCGTTCCGCCCAATTTTTGAACCTCCAAATCTCAGTCTCCTGCCCTTATTTTCTATGCAAATCTCTTTATTTTTTTTTTTTAGTCGTTCGCGTCGGCACTGTAAAGGGTCATCTTCAACGAAATCTTAAGCCTTTTTGCTGGGATCTCGATACTATTTATAAGGCGAGTTGCATACCTTTTGATGTTAACACTTACAATTTAGCCGAAATTATTTTGGTTGATGGGTTATGGTTTTTTTATTCCTTTTTTGGCTGATTTTGCCTCTACGTTATAGATGTTGGAGGTCTGCGACCATGGGTTGCAAATTATCGGGTGGACTTTGTTTTCGATTTGCATCGAAACTTCTTGCAGCCATGAGTACGACACTTGCCTCTGTGACTCATTTGAATCTCCGAAACCCTCATCAATAATTTATTTGTTCTTCCTAAAAATAAAAATTCTATGTTCTCTATTTGTTCCTATCTAAGAGCCAATAAATTTCTTGGAAGAAAAAAAAAGGTGAAAAATGCTTAGAATTTTTTCTGATAAGGAAAGCAAACCTTACCTAACACAAAGAATTCTTTGTCGAACCCTCTATTCGGTCTTTATTACCACTCTAGAAAATGAACAACATCAGAGAAAGGGCCTTAAAGAAGTTTTACCATCATATGACCGAGGTCTACTATTCAGGTTAGTATTTCTTCATTTCCGATGTGTTGCAACCATAAATTTGAGATTTGTTTATAGGCTTATTGGTCTTGTTCAGGTTAAATTTTGTTCTACTTAGGTTTTTTTAAGGTGGTCAAGAACATGTGAAATAGGTTGCTGTTAAGTTTCTGATGATTAAATGTAAAAACCTATGTAAGATCATTTGTGTTGTAGTATTATACTCTAACTTTTATTCTTTGTTTTCGAAAAATGTATTATGGATAAATTTTCAACTCATATTTCGGTTCTTCTGATTGTTAAATTTAATTGCTAATTTTATTTTAGGCGAACAGGTTTCCTCCTCTTATCTTTTTGAATTGTAATTAGTCGATTTATTGTTTTGCTTTAAGGACAACTAGAAGTGGACTAAAACAATGATACGATACGCGTCACATTGTAAGTAAGTCTTCATTTATTTGTTTTTCTTAAGTTTATATTAATTTAGAGATTGATATTATTTAGATGTAAATTGTGAAAAAGTTGGTTGAGGAGCATATTAATCAGACTTGAATCCAACACTTAACACTACAAAGATTATAACAAGGGGCTTTGGGTGCATGATTAAACTACTTATTTCAAAACTAGGATCAATCTTCAGCTTCGGCTTGTAGTATATCATAGTTTTTGAGTAAATAATATAAAATATTATGAAAATGGATTCGGTAAGGTAGATTTTGAGTAAATATTGACCTCATTTTTAGGACTTTGAAGTAACAATTACCTCAACCAATTGTTTTTTTTTTTTTTTTACCTCAATCAATTAAGTATTTATGTATTCTGACCTCAATCGATTACCTCAACAAACATTTCAATGCAAGTAAATATGTGCAGTCATTTTGCAAATGAGAAGCTTAACATGCATTTTGAAGAATGGGTGTGCTCCACTTTGTTGTATGTTGTATGCTCGCAACTATAGTAAAAGAAAAAAAAAATCAATTTTCCTTTTTAGAGAAAATAGTGATGTTAAAATTCTGCTATAGAGCTCCAGACATCAATAAGTATTTCTTATCACTAAATACAAAAGTTTTTCCTTTTATTTTCATTTATTTATGGTATGGTGTTTGTGTATATACCTATAGGATATACATGTATGTATTATGTCAAACGCATCTCATTTATTATGTTCATGTAGCATCATCTTTATTTATATACTTTTGTTTTCACCCCTCAGTGAAGTTTGGTTAGTTTTGTGTGTTATCTGAATCAGAAACAAACTTGGGCAAAGATTCTAAGGTCATGTACAAGTGCATACTACACAAGACTAATGTGACTTCATGCATTCTATTTGAAAAATTGAGATTTTTAATGTTGAAAATCTGTGGAACGCTCAAGTTCTGAAGGGTTGCTTATTGTTCTTACCTACATAATTTTATATTATGCCATTTTTCATCCCGTCTTTTTTAACATTTTATTAAAATTTAGATTTTTTTTTCTCAAAATTAAATGAGTAAACTGTCCATGTTAATTCTCTTTATTTCTTTGGTAGTAGCTTTGAGATACTTCTCATGGTCAAATGATGCGTACAATATTTCAGTATTATGGACTAAGATATTGCCTGATTTTTTAAAAATGATGTATTATGAAAAATATATATCATTTAGAAATTTGAAAATACAAGTAAATATATATTATGTGTAATATATTGTTTTTAGGTGGTATTTTTAAACATGATAGACCACAACTAACAAGTATATCATAATAGAGGCGGATACGAAGACGAAAACAGAAGCTCCAATGTGATTGCTTAAATCGTCATGAACATTTGCAAATATTTTTGAAGCCAACATGTGAGCTGGCATTCAAGCCCATGTAAGTGAGTACAATTAGATATTCATTTCACAAATTCTGCTTCAATTCGTAAAGAGAAATGAAAAAAAAAAAAAAAAAACTAAGTCAAGTAGGTATTTTAAATCTTGAAAGGCAAAAAATTCTGAGTGTTGATAGATATCATATCAGAGCCGTTTTAGATTATTTATCTCTGATATTAATTATTTGTTATGCTGTGGTCATATTTTTTGAAGTTATTTTATACCAAGTCTTTTCACGTAAAGTAGTGCATTTTTTTTATGTTATATATAATCTTCAAATCGTTTGATCCCACGTCTTGTTTTTATTGTTAATGGAATTTTGGATTATATAAAACTAAGATAGTTCCTAAATGCTTGCCAACAGCTACATGTATGACTTTTAAACTTTGATTTCATATTTTATCTTATGTGTTATCTTTTACAGATTTTAATATTTGTTTTTTTAACTTACATAACAAAATGAAGGAATGAAGTCAAAGCCTGATCTTTGTTACAACTATGCTATTGTAATGCCTCTTTTTTATGTTTTTTTTTTAACAGTACAAAATGAAAGAATGAATTACATTGGAAATATCTCATGTTCTTATATTTTGTGTATACATCAATTATTTATAGTTTTTTCTTTATGATTTAACCGTTATGAGTATTATTTTATGTCTTCCAGTGAAGGTTAAACGAGGATCAATATAAATATGCTTGGATTGTTGCTTAAGATTTGTCTCATTCAGTTTATGTCTGTTGTTTAATGACTGGGGATGTTGATAGTTTTACATCGAGATGATTTGCATCATTCGTAAACATAGGCATTTTATATGTTTTAAGCATATCTTATATTCTCAATTTTTCAACAGATCATTGTATTATGATTTGATATATAAATGATGGGTTGGAATGGAATTGGCGGAAGTAAGAATCTACTATGAATCATGTTTATTTGCTTCTCACATAAGATGTTGCTAGGTATGATACAAAAACCAGTATTATATATAAAATTGAAATCTTTATAATGAGTTGTTATTCAATTCTAGCCTTTTGTTGATTACTTTGATTTTGATTCAAGAGTTTGTCGTATTTATGGTTTTGGATACCAATCGATGTAGAGTATTTAGTGGTGCATTTTTGCTTAGGGTTTCTATGTATTATTTTTCCATGAATTTTTTTTATTATTTTCATTTGAAAAAATAACCTTCTAGCTAAAATAAAAGAAATATAACGTGGGCCGGCCGTGCTGTGCACGGCAATAGCCTCCTAGTTATTTTATATATTCTTTATTATACTTATTTTATGTGTGTATACTTTTATTCTCTCATTTTGCTATCTTGTGAATTTGACTTTTCAAAGGTTAATGCTTCCATAGTTGAACTTGCAAATAATTTATTTGTTCTTTCTTTTTATTTGTAAATGTTTATTTCAAAATATTAAAAAAATTATTTTATTTTCTAATAGTTTATTTGATAATATTGAAATGTTTTGAATATTTTTGATAATTTTATAAGATACAATTACTGTTTTTTGACAATGTTTGTATCTTGTAAAAATATATCCTAATAATATTTTTCTAATATAACAACATTATGCAAAAAAATATTGAATAAAATCAATCAATAATTAAATAAATATATTTTAATTTGGGTTGATTATAAGTGTCGTTATAGCAGAGATATCTAGCACATATTTGAGCTTGTACTCTTTTAACAAACAAATATAAGGCCTTGCTCAATTCGACTCGTTGAAGCTGATCGATTTACTCGTTTAATAAATTTAAAATCCTAAACAATTTGTTCGTGAATAACTCATTTCGCATAAAATTTAGAGGATTAATATATACAACATCTTTTTTCATTTATTCTTGTTTATATTGCTTATTATGTTACGTTTATTAATATTTTATTCAAACATAATATTATAACTGCAAGTATATAAAAGTCTCAATAAGTTTTAGAAAGTCCATTATGAAAGTCTTGAAAAGTCACTAATGAAAATTCTCTGAAAGTCTCAAAAAGTCCACCAAAGTCATAAAAGTTCTACAAAGTCCACAAAAGTCATCAAATTTAAAAAGTTTTAAAAAGTCCTTAAAAATCTCAATTGAATACACCATCCTTAGTATCTCACTATGTAAAATTATAAAGAGTTAAAGAGTTATATTAGTACAAGTGATATTAAAATATTTAAGTTAACTAAATAACATTTATGGAATGTCCGAATCTAGATTATTAATTATTAATATATCAATATTATTTGTCCAAACCTAATTACGAAGCATGATTCTTCGTCAAATAGGATTCCGAAGCAGCAGTTACGTAGGCTCAGCGCATTCGAGAACGAGAATTATATATAAGGGATTACAAAATTTTCTTTTTTCACAACAATAATCTTATTTTTTTTAATTGATTACATACTCATACACACAACCATACCGACGCGTGTTAATCCAGCGAAAAAAAATACTGTCACAAGCGGATTGAATTTATCATTAACCACATAACCCTAAAGAAGATAGTACACCAAGCATTAATTCTTGTACCTACCAATGATATATAAACACCTAACAAGCATAGAATGATTACCGTATTTACTGATTTTGACCGACGGGCATACTCTAAGAAGTAACTCTCTTCAATGTCCCCCGCCAGCACCGCCGCCGGCGGTGGCCCAAACCACCGCTCCACCGCTCCCCTCTCTCTGAAAACAGAAACCAAGCCTCTGCCCTTGAACGCAGCCGAGATGATTGATCCCTTAGCCTCATCCTCGTTGGGCCCCATTCGCGTTGACGGGTCCGAACACGACGCCGCCCTATCCAATTCGGAGTTCCTGACCCGATCCGAAGTCCTTAATCGCCGATCCCGCAGGGTGAAACAGCTTGCTCGGATTTATCGCGACCACTACTGGGCGTTAATGGAGGAGCTAAGGTTGAAGTACAGGGAGTATTATTGGGAGTACGGGAAAAGCCCTTTCGTGGAAGATGAGGACGACGAGAAGGTCAATGCGCACCGCGGGGATTCCGCTGCCTTACCTGGTGAAAATGTGAATTTAGGGGTAACTGGTGGTGGTAAGGTTAGCGGTAGGTGTGAGGTCCATGGGTGCAAGGCCAAGGCGATGGCATTAACGAGGTTTTGCCATATGCACATAACGTCTGATGCGAAGCAGAAGCTTTACGAGAGTTGCACTTTCTCCATAAAGAGGTTTGTTTTCTTTGATCTTGGGCTCTTCTAAAACTTTATTTCCAAATTATTTGGTTTTGTTTGAGACAGTGAATTTAAATACTTCTACATTGGTGTAGTATGGAGTAGTCTTGTTGTTTCGAATCAAACTGCAGTATGATTTCAACTGTTGATTCCAGTGATTGGCTATATGATTTTAAGAGAATTATTGCAGGAAACAGATGGTTGGGATGTACAACTGATTCTTACGAAGCTGCTTAATTTTCTTAAAGTTATACTAAATGTTGTTGCTACCATTCTTAAGTTATACTCATGCTTTGTTCTTCTTCGACTCATGTAATATCTTGTTTTCTTTAATTTCTTGGTGGCGTAGTTGGCGTAAGGCAGTTGGTCACTAAAAACACCACACATGTTGAATAATTGTATAGTATAATATCAGAAAATTATTTCTCTGTAATATTAAGAATCTCGCTAAAATTATATATTTGACTTGTTCTGGTAAAGGAATATGTGGCGAGTTAGTAACCCGCTAGTTATATGATAATACGTATAAGAAAGTTCGTGTAGTCCCGTACTTGGTATTCGCCATATATGTATTTATATTTATGTGCTCGGACATTGTTGTTATTTTTTCTTAATTGAATGAACTGAATAATTATTTAACGGCATTGCTTCTTAAGAGTTTTAGTTCACCTACACTAGAATTGTGCTTCTATTTCATTACCACTTATCACTTTGCACTAGGCCATAAAATTTTTCTCACAATCCATCATCTACAGTTATTTGTCTTTATGGTATACTAAGAGATCTTTGATATCAACTCCTTTGTATTCATCCAAAGTTTGACTAAATTTTTTAATTCTAGTTGTTTTCGCAATCTTAATTTCATTAAGATTCTCGTAAGCCATATTACTCATTTACCAAAGCTTATAGTGATGAGATACAATTTACATGAATGTATACATTAACAATTTGCCAATTTCTTACTCAAGGTATCCTTTTGGCTATTGTAAGGCTATCATTTCATTGGATTGGACTATGGTCCAATTCTCTACCAAAAATGGGTCCGGCAATAAATGCTGAAAAAGAAATTTCTATTGTTGAATAGCGAGAAACGAATAAAATGTAATTGCATGTAACTTTTATCATTTTGTGCTTTAATGAATTTGTATCTTTTTTAGAAGTTCTCCTTTATTATATATATAGATCATTATTAAGCTTTGCTCTTGGATTATTCTCAGTAAAATTTTTAGTGTTCAATTTGAATGCCAGCAAGGGGTCAAGTTTTATATAATCATGCGGTGGTGTATTTCACAATTTCGGCATATATGTAACAGATTCTGATGTTCATGACATAAAAACACGCTTATTCTACTCCTATTGATGATATATGTCTGTTGCATTTCGATCTAATACTAAACATGATTGGTCAATCCGGCAGCATTATGCTGCCATTGAGTTTTAGTCTATGCTCATTTAAGCTCTTCTGAAAGAAGTTTCTCAATAGATTCTTAAAGATGATTTCAATTTCTAGTTCGGATAAAAAGGCATCGTCCATGCTAGTTTTAGTTCCCTTTGTCCTTGAAAATTTTCCTCTTCAACATTTTACATTTAATCACAGCTCTTCTGATGACAAAATTCATTATCTGCTCGAATCAAGTTTCTTTGTTATTCCAGTTATATCATCTTTATGCAATCTCGGTAAATCCTTATTTTATTTTCGATATTCGCCTCTGTTTCTCTTTTCATCCAAATTGATATATTCTTTTTCCTGTTTTTTCCGGTCTTTGCATTTTCCAGTTCCACAACAGGACCAATACTCTGCGGGAGGCCGTTAATGAAATCGACGGTCCCTCCATATTGCCCTATGCACTTCCAAAAGGCAGAGAACCATATGGTGCGTGCTCTCAAGAAGGCTGGTCTCAATGTGTCCTCAACGAGCAAGCTCACACCAAAGCTCCATGTCATAGTTGCGGAATATGTCCGCCAGATCCAGAACAAGAGACGCGCTGCAAAAAAAGCCAATCTTGAAAGTGCCGGTATTAAGGAGGAAACCAACTCGTGATGCTTGATTTCACGGTTGTAAAAGTTGATATAGAATATACATTCTTTGGTTACTTGAGCAAACGCGTGTTTAAGCTGCAAATTTGAAATCAATATTTGGTGTGTGTCAATGGATTGTAGAAACTTGTGGACTAACTTGAGTTTAATATGAGTCTTGCACATATTAGAGTTGCAATCTCCGGGTTGAAGTTTTGTCTCTCATTATCGCTTTAGCTCAGCCTTTCCAGAGTCTGGGGATTTTTTTTTTTGTTTTCTTTTTTCCTTGTTTTATTTATTTATAATGGATGGCTCCTGTATGTCACTGGAAAAAAAAGTGTG